TTTTATTTTTTATTTTTTATTTTTTTATTTATTTTTATTTATTTTTATTTATTTATTTATTTTTTTAAAAGATGACAGGTAAGGGGATCTTAACCCTTGACTTGGTGTTGTCAGCACCACGCTCACCCAGTGAGCTAACCGGCCATCCCTATATGGGATCCGAACTCGGGGCCTTGGTGTTATCAGCACCGCACTCTCCTGAGTGAGCCACGGGCCGGCCCTATTTATTTATTTTTTTAAAAAGATGACCGGTAAGGGGATCTCAACCCTTGACTTGGTGTTGTCAGCACCACGCTCTGCCAGTGAGCAAACCGGCTATCCCTATATGGGATCCGAACCCGTGGCCTTGGTGTTATCGGCACCGTATTCTACCGAGTGAGCCATGGGCCAGCCCATAACTTACATTTTTATACTGTATAGTTCTTCAAAATATTTTCTATTCGTTAGGAAATGCATGAAACTTATTCTTTTTTTTTTTTTTTTTAAAGATGACCGGTAAGAGGATCTTAACCCTTGACTTGGTGTTGTCAGCACCACGCTCACCCAGTGAGCTAACCGGCCATCCCTATATGGGATCCGAACCCATGGCCTTGGTGTTATCAGCACCGCACTCTGCCGAGTGAGCCACGGGCCGGCCCCGAAACTTATTCTTTTGATCATTTTTCTTTATGCTGCTTATCAATACTGAATCCAAACATTTATGGTTTTCAAGTATCTTCATGAATATTGACAGTTTAGGTTGACAATTTTTCTCTCTCTTCCCATTTATCTTACTCTTAAAGAAATTAGAGAAAAAGTTTGATTAGCACACCAAGGTCTCTTTTTCTAAGATCTGTGTCAGCCTTGTTAGAGTTATTTTGGAATAGGATGCAGATTTTTTTTTTGCCTAGTGGTTTGGTTCACCCCTCCACCCCTCATCCCCCAAAAAGAAAAGAAAAAAAACCTTAGGTGCCTTTAATCATAGTCATTCTTGTTTCTTTCTCCAATTATTCCTCATAAACACAGTGAGAGCTTTTGGTTTCTTGTCATAATTTTTGTACAGAAGTGCTATGGTACAGTCTGTCCTCTGGTTTGGGTAATTCATATTTTTATCTTTTCAAGCCCCTTTCCCCCAAATTAATTAGATCTATTTTTTTTCTTTTTGCAAAGCTAAAATTTGTGACTGATAGATAAAAATTTTGTGAGCAATTATTGTCAAAATGTATTTATCTGCCTAGTAGTATGTGGCAGCCTGCCAGTGAAATGTGATTAAGGAATCAGGAGATCTGGGTTTAAGCCCTAGGCTTACCAGCCTGCTATCTGAGAAATCTTATCCAAATTATTTAAGGAAGTTGTAGAGAAGGTTACTATCCTTTATTGAGCATTGACTGTGTCATGCTCTTTACATACGTTATCTCATGTAGTACTCATAACAGTCCTTTATGGTGGATATTATTTTCCCCATAGAGATATTCTTTTCTCCCGTCTCTACTGAAGCTCAGAGAGAGTAAATAATTTGATGAAGATCACACAGCAGGTATACGCGTAGCAGAGCTGAGTTCAAATTT